ATCTCAGAGGCTGGCGGATGACCCTGAATTCTATTATTGACGTCGACATCGTTAAACCCATCATAGCCAGCAAGATGGACGAGGAGTTAGATGATTTAAAAAGCATCAAATAACAGTTTACGGTCAAAATGTCATTCAACAAACAGAATCGCATAGATCCATCCCCATCTCCCAAATCCCTAAGGTTTGAAAACAAAATAATTCAGCCATCAACGTCTTCGGACACGTGGGGAATAGAGTTATCGTGCACAGTATAAGCCCCATCAGGAAAAAGATGTACGACCAATCAACTCATAGAGCAAAGAAGTATTTTTGTGAAAGATGCACGGTTATGGTGCACAAAGAAGACAGTCAAGGTGTGGGAGAGACAACGACCAGGATCGACATGCCAAGAAGAAAAACACATTCTGAAATATTTCAATCATAAACATCAAATGCCCATGCCCTACTTATCTATGCTGACTTCGAGGCGCTCATAAAAAATATCGAACACTTCACACCCACCACGACCCAGGAGGAGACATGATTGACGTACAAAACGCAAGAACATTAAGCTTGCAGGTTTGGTTATGTGGTCGTCTGATGTGACGGACAAACAAAAGAGCCTTTGATTTACCGAGGCCGCGATGCAGCCGAAACGTTTCTCACATGCTTACAAAACGAAGACGAAGAAATCAGGAAAGTTTTGTTGTACCCTTCCCTCATGCATATGACACCTCAGGATAAGTTTGCTCATCAATGAGCTAGATATTGTTACGTATGCCGGGGACCCTTTAAAAACGATTCAGTGAAAGATCATTGCAACATCACGAGTCGTTCTAGGGGAGCCTCCCACAATGCATTAAACTTGAAGCTTAGAATAAACCCCAGAAACAACACGAATCCCAGAGGTGTTTCATAATCTCAGAGGGTATAATGCACATTTAATCATGCAGTCCATACCGAAGGTCAATGGCGACCTGACGTGCATCCCCAACAACAAGGAAAAATACATCTTCTGATTGGGCGGTCTGAGATGCATAGATGGCGCCCAGTTTCTCCGTTCATTCCTTGACAGTTTGGTGAAGGAGAATGACCCCGATACCTTCACCTTCAATCGATACACTGACTATTGTTGAAGAAGGGTGTCTACCCCTACGAGTATATGGACGTTTGGTCCAAGTTTGAGGAGACACAATTACCACCCATCAAATCCTTTTATACTACCCATCAAATCCGTTTATAGCAATTTGACTGAGTCCAATATATTGCAGAATGATTACGACCATGTTCAGAACGTGTGGGAGAAACTGGGTTGTGGAAATCACAGCGATTACCATGATCTCATGATCTGTATTTAAAAACAGACGTGCTACTACTTGCCGACATCTTCGGACGAAATTTTTAGAAAGACGTCTTTGAGACAATATAAACTTGACCCAGCTTGGCATTACACCAGCCAAGGTCTGTCATGGGATGCTCTTGAAGAAAACAGATTATGATGTGCACCTATTTATTGAGAAAAGGTGTGAGGCAGGATTTCCATGGTCTCTAAATGTCATGGAAGGTTAACAACAAGTACATGGAAGGTTATGACTCCAATAAGCCTGCCAGTCATATCCTCTAGCTCGATGCCAATAATTTGTACGGCTGAGCCACGAGTCAACCTTTGCCCACGGGCGGGTTCAAGTTAATTGATAGCAAAATAATAAAAAACAAACAAAGAACATTATGGCTATCCCTGAAAACTATGAGATAGGATACATATTCAAAGTGGATTTGGAATATACTAAAGAGTTGCATGCCTCCCACAACAGTTATCCGCTGGCTCCTGAGAAGTTGGTGGTGGATCAAGACTGCATGTCAAACTTCCAACGAAACTTGTTAGGAGATAACAAACTACTGGAAGGTAATGTTGAAAACCTTGTACCTAAATTAATGAACAAGAAAAAATATGTCGTCCACTATCGGAATCTGCAACTGTACTTATCACTTGGAATGAAGCTTTCCAAAATACATAGGATTTTGATGTTTAATCAAAGTCCTTGTATGGAGAGTTAATGTCAAATTAGTCATATCACACCAGGAAGAAAAACTTATAGTGATAACTGATTGCACATGAACAAGAGCCACATCAAATTCAACCGACCAGTGTATGTCGGATTAAGTATATACAAGATTTATCAAAACACCTCATGTATGACTTCTATTATAATAAACTAAAAAAAAACAATATGGGGATAAATGTGAGGTTTTGTACACCGATACGGACCGAGGATGTCTTCGAGGACACGGCGAAAAACATACACCTGTACGATACGAGCGATTACCCCCAAGACCACGCCCTACACAGCATGGCGGATAAAAAGGTACTCGGAAAAATGAAAGATGAATGTGCAGGGACTCCTATTACGGAGTATGCTGGATTAAGACCTAAAATGTATTCCATCAAGAAAGCCGACAGCGGTGAGATAAGAAAAGTGTGAAGAAGTTCAAAGATGCCCTATTCACAGAGGCCCTATTCCATGGTCGAACGTTCAAACACGAAATGAATGGGTTGAGAAGTGACAAGCATAGGATATACAGGATAAGGCTAAACAAAACTTCTTTGTCGTCCATGGATACAAAAAAGATGGATTGACCACGATGGTGTCCCAACTTACGCGTAAGGACACAGTTGTATTAAAAGGAAAATAACATGAAATGAATAATGGATAAGATTTACTACAGCCCACGGGGATATTGGAAAGGAACAGGTGCTATCCACAAACTAGCTGCTGCGGCTTGCCGAACACAATGCTACCAAAAAGACAACTTTCGGAAAAAGAGATAGAGGAGATACAAGGTTTGCGCGGGAAGATGTCTGCCATGTGAGCGAAAAAACAATATGGCATAGGTGCCACTAGGTTAGGACTTGATGACTCTGTTTCTGAAGCATATCTGGCTGTACTTGCTTCAAAGCCGTAGCCATGCCTCACACCATTAAGTCAAAATCTATGATAATGCGGAGTTGTGTATCTCGAGGAATGACCTCGAGAGACAGGTAGGTTCGGCTGCGTTGTTCTAGTAGGAGATGAACACGATCGCCAAAACAGACAGGTTCGCCGAACCTAATGTCAAGTTCGAAGGCTGAGACGCAGAAGCCAAAACAAAAGGGATTCATTGAATGTAATTCGGTGAACACTCATTCGCCGAGGGCAAGTCGTAATTGCTGGACAGAAGTGAAACTTGTCCAGTGAAATTGCTGATTCATGAGAGATCACCAAAACTTGAGAGATCGCTGAAGGCTGTCACAGAAGAGATCGCTGATCCCCGGAAGATCGCCGATCTCTTCTGTGACAGCCTTCAGTGATCTCTCAAGCGGACAGTTAAAGAAGACGGGATCACCAAAGCAGTCTGATGAGGGATCTCCGAAGATGTTCTGTGATGAATCACCATAGAAGTCTGAGGTGGGATCACAGAACTGGGAGGTATCACAGAATTAGAAGGAACAGTGATGCGTGGGCAGTAACAGTAAGCGAAGGTACAGCCTTAGAGATGAACCCCAAGGGAACACCCTATGTGATGATAGCAGGGGGAATCACTGAACTTGGTAGAGAGAAATAAATATAGTGTGCTTGTTTTATATATCATGTGTTACTGGTTGTGTTGCTAGTCCTTAATTCTTTTGAACAAAAACTCTGTATTGATGAAAAAATGAATTGTTGCGAGGTAGATAAACATTATTATCTTACAATCGTATCTCAACACGTTCGTCGAATGTAGGTCTGGAGTCTGGGTGCAGCCAAAGCCCAAAGATGGCTGATGCGTATACGGGGGTTCGCCAAAGTAGATGGAATCACCGAAGGAATCGAAGTCTGACGTCTCGGGAAAACCAGAGGGATCGCTGATGCAGGTTGCCGAATCTAGCTGGTTCAGCAAGTGGTGGATACAGTGGTGCAGTGATCGGCGAACTACTGGAGGCGTCTGTGGCAGAAAAACAATCGTCTCAAATCTTACTACCTTCGACCTCTGCTCCAGCTAGAGTAGAGCCTAATCTACTCTTAAAATTAACAAGTTATCATCGTCCAACATGGTGCATAGGCTGTACCTGATTTTCCTCTTCAATTCTACAAACACAAAGGACCAAAGCATTCTAAGCAGGATGTGTGTAGATTCGAGATGGAGAAGGTCTGCTTGCGGTCCATGTAACTTCCATCCCTTGACGTAGAATCTTCTTTCCCAAGATGTAAAAAGCTATATACATCAGTATTAGCCACAGTTACCACAGCACCCCCGTGCGACAAAAAAGAAAATGACAAGATAAAGGTGTCATGTGACCAGCCTGAGTGTCCTGCATGCTTTCCAGGGACTACTGAGGTGGCCAGGAGTGGGGGTGGTGGGGAGTGATCGGGCGAGAGAGGCCAGAAGATTTTGTTCAACTCTGCTTATAGCACACGTTTCCACTCCATGGTTGAAGTAAGAGAGATAAGTGCATACCGTGAGATAGGATAAGTTATAAAAATTTGGATAATTGTTTGGATAATGTTTTGAACTTTATTCTCCAAGCAATTATCCAATATGAACATTTAAAAACATCCATGCTTTCCCATATTTGGTGCTATGTTTTTTAACATATGATTTATATTGATGTGACCACAGACATTTTCATCTGGAGAAAATTTTGTGTATAATTGGACTCGGTCTGTATATCATCCTATAATCTGAAAAAAGAGTTGGTTAAGCTGGTAATTTTGTGTTGTAATGCTGCTTTACTACTGTGCACAGGTACATGTAATAACTGTTCAGAGATTAGTTAACTTTTTTTATAAAATAATATTACTACAAAGGTCAATGGGAAAATATTTGATTTTGTGTAACTTCAAATAATGTGAAATAATTGGTGTTAATTTTTTTCAACTTTCAAATGAGGAATGAATGGCAGGGACATTAAGGCGAGTGTAGCATCACTGGGTTCATGATCAATTCCGGGTTCGTGATCATGACTGTATGCTGTGGCCTATATTTGTGTGTGAACTTACCTCTCCCAGAGCTTCATATCGCAGTTGGTTATATGAATGATTGGATGATACCTTGAATACAAATGGTTCCTCTGTGTCGATATGCCTCAACTGACCATCTATAACAAAAAGAAACAAAATTACAAATCTACAAATATCCCAGACATTACCACAACAGCATAAAACAAGAGGGCTTTGCAGAAGGCCTCAAAATCATAACATACCATACACTTCCAGTTGGTCAAATGAAAACAGAAACAAACATCTGATCACATAAAATTCCTCCTTGTTTGGGGAAATGAAAAGATTAGCTATATAGTTTTAAGAATACTACAGTCACATCATAATCTTGTATTTTGGCTGTTACCACTCAATGAAATCTTCAGGTATTGAACAGGTGTCCTCTTCACTGTCAACGATCCAAGGAAAGTTGCACCTGTATTAGCACACACTTGCTCTCATGCTGTCAAGTATCCGCAAACTAAACTAATAGAATAGAGGTAACTATCCTTCATATAAGACTAATACATAAATTTGGTCTAAAATGAATTAATTCATCTTTCAACAACTAGCACATCAACAGCTTGAGAGAGTGGTAAAAACATATGTAACCTATTGAAGGAGCACAACATGTGCTGTAACATCCAGCAGTATAGCCAATTGTACTTCTATGTCACTGTTAGGCCTTGTGGTGTTGACAGCTGTCATGGTCATCTACTAGCATCCAGGAGAACATTTTAGTGATACTTGCATTAATGATTTGTGTTATTGTATGGGGTGGCATCACAACTGATCAATGTTATTGGCAACAAGCATTGTCACTAAGGTGACATAATCACCCGCCGCAAATTATCAAATCAAACTTAAATAGTAATGAAAGTTTAAGATGAAGTTAAAGGTCAACAAAAACATGACCAGTCAACCTCTCTTGATATCTTGCTTTTTAGTTGTTCAAACACACAAATATTTTCAAGACTGACCTTGACCTTGACATGAATGTCATAGTGTATGAAATATGCAAAAGTGGTACTAAAGAAATTGCTTATTGAAAAACATTCAAGGGAAGTCTTGAAAGTCTATGTAGAAAATCCAGTGAATTCAGGTTGACATGCTGAAATCTTCGAAGTGTCGCAGTGACCTGGAAAATTATGTGAAGGTCACCACAATTGACTGGGCCCTGCGCCTTCATTAGATGAAGCATGGTGTCAAATATGAAAAAATCCAGTGAATGTTTTTTGCGATATCTTGCTGACTATCTTAACTGGCAATTTAACATGCTGAAATCTTCAAAGTGTCTTTGTGACCTTGAAAGGTCACAAAAATTGACTGGGCCTTGCACTTTCCCTAGATGAAGCTTGGTGTCAAATATGAAGAAAGTCCAGTGAATGGTTCCTGAGATATCTCGCTGACCATCTTAACATGCAGGTTAACACACTGAAATATTCAACGTGTCACTGTGACCTTGAAAATTAAGTGAAGGTCACCAAATCGACTGGGCCCTGCGCCCTCCCTAGATAAAGCTTGGTGTTGAATATGAAGAAAATCTAGTGAACGGTTCTTGAGATATCTAGCTGACAAGAGTAAAACATTAAAGTCACCTTGTGACCTTGAAATAAATGTCAAGTCACCAAACCTAACTGGGACCTTTCTTATACTGTGATGAACCTAGGTACCAAATATGAAAAGAATCTAGTCAACGGTTCTTAAGATATTCCAATTTGTACGGACGGCCGGACTGACAGAGCCTAATACTATATCCCCCGTGTCGGGGCAGGGCTACAGATAAGGGGCGTACAGGCGTAATGTACGCCTCAAAATCAATTAAGTACGACATAATATAAGATTTCAAGCGTATCGTGTACGCACATAAATACCTTCGTACGTCTAGCATTTAATTTCCGTGCGTATCGTGCAAATGGAAATCTATTTTCGGATAAATACTTGTTAAGTTTCTTTTGCGAAACGGATTTGACACATAAGAAAACCCCGACAGTAGGAATCCCTTGTGTTGCCATGCAACGGTATGCGTCACTATGTTTCGATTGGCTAAAAACGGTGAATCGTCCAGACAAACCACATCAACTCGCTCACACAAAAACATGTCAGTACTCCTTCAAAATTCTCAGTACACCTCCACTTGCAATATGATGTGTAAGTACACTCACACCCCCAAAAGTTAGCTGGAGCCCTGGCAGGGGATAATTAAAACTCACTCTTCTACGCTGTGTATCATCTCATGTCACCTGACAGCAAGATAATGCCTGCCAACAACACACTTTCAGGCAGCATATAATTCCAGTACTGCCATGGACAGCTGTTTCTCCCCGACATGAGTACTTGATATGAACAACTTGTGGGATGAATTGGCTTAGGTGAGGCAAACCACTTATTCAAGTACTTGTGGTAATTAAGCCTCCATAGCTTTAGATTTCAAGTCTGGCATCAAAGAATACAGTTCCTCTTACAGCTCTACAGTGTAAGTGTTCCAGTCAGTAGCTATCTATCAAAAGTGGTTTCCCATTGTCAACATAAAATGATGTTATAATTTTCACTCATGTCCTATTTTTGTTCATGATGTTTTCTCATAACTACAGGCGAGCTATTCTCGAAACGTTGGTAGCCCTAAGAACTTCTTAAGCCCATTCTCAGCACATTGGCTACGATCAAAGTTAAGAATTCTTAGGGCTACGAACGTTTTGAGAATAAGGGCTCTGCTTCTTTTTTTTTCTATGTGTATTTTATAGGTGTGTGTCTTTGTGTGTTGTGTGGGATGTCGGTCCTTGAAAACAAATGACACAGCAAGGGATGAGAAAGTGTGCAAACTAATTAAAAAAGTTTAGATATAAAACATAGTTCATGGAATGGAATTATATTTTTGCGAAGATAATAAAAAATTGTTACATACATTTAGGGAGCGGGAGAAGGGGCTGAAGAAGCTTTTGTACTTCTTCATTTACACTAAATATTTCATTGTAAATTTATGGTAACCATACTGAATGTTTGGCATGAATGTTGTTAATTCAGTCAAACAATCCAAACTGTCAGAGATAAGATTATTCTTAACCAAAATAGTTATTGTTAAAATACAACCAGGGTTTTGTCAGATATGAACCGCCTCCGTGGTGTAATGGTTAGAGCGTCCGCCCGGAGAGAGCGGAAGGTCGTGGGTTCGATCCCTGGCCGCGTCATACCAAAAGACGTTAAAATATGGTTCTTGTTGGTCCCTGCCTGGCGCTCGGTATTAATGGGTACAACAAGGACTGGTCGGCTCGGAGTCAGTATAATGTGTCTGAGTGGGGTATTCATGCTTCACTGCGGCATAGTATCTCAGTGGGCTAGCACTATAAAACCAGCTTAAGTCTGGGCTAGTACAAGCAGCCGCACATACACACGCATGCACGTCGTCATATGAGCGAAATATTCTCAAGCACGACGTTAAACCCAATTTCACCTCACCTCACCTTGTCAGATATGTATCAAGGCTGAAATTATCAATGAGTGTGGGGGTGCAGCATTTCTTGTCATATAACCTCAGGGTTGTAAACTCTGTACACACGGATATAATCATCACAAAAGTACAGATCTAGACAATGATAAATCGGTCTATGGCCTGGATTAATTATTCTGAATATTCAGTTTTCTAATGTTGTAGTATGGCAATGCAATGATGCTCAGTCATTTTTAAAAACATATCTGTGATACGTATTCAAAATCTTTATGCAAATAATCACATGACAAAGAATACATTAAACATTAGCTGATTGCCAATGACCCAAGGGCTAAGTGGTTACCCTTAGCACACCAGGTACTTACTCTTTTGGGGGGACCAAAACAGTTTCTCCTGTGGGAGAATGTTTTGAGGCCCAAGAGAATGAATGCGAATTATGAATGAATGCCCCCAAAACTGGGTGACGGGTAGATTAAGAAATGTACATAGCTCGTTGAGCTGCTTGTAAGGGGGAGTTCGTTACATCAATATATCAGTGAAAAAATATTCTGATTAAATATATTATATTATTATTATCATTATGCTACTATTTGTATAGCACCATTATCCAGCTCAGCTGCTCAAAGGCGCTTTTGTTTTTCGCTTGATCAATGGATGTCAATCTCAAATGGCACATTGTATTATCAATCTCAACTCCCTGGGGTTCATGCAACTCCTGCTGCCATTAGGCGCACCCAATTAATGTGGCTTTCCCGTCCTTATGAGGTACCTAATCACAGCTGGGTGGACTGGGACACATAGTCACAGTGCTTTGTCCAAGTTTACTGCATGTTGCTGTACCCGCAACTAGGTGTTTGCACGTATTCATGTGGCCACCATCTGGTCATTTACCAATGGATTCTTGGGTTCTTTTAAGTGCACAGGGTTGTGTACTGTACACTAGGGGTTGTGACAACACTGAAAGAGTCTGCACACAATGTTGACTCCAAGGTTTTTTCACCCGGTCACAGGTGGGCTCAATCCCGGCACCTTAAGTTTGCTGGATCACTAGCTTGACGTGTGAGGCAGCTCGCCCACCATGCCCCCTGATACCCAAAGTCCAAGTGTTTGGATGAGGCGCCCCTCTATCCGGGCAGCACTGCACGAGGAAGCCGCTCCGCGAGGGAAGCTATGCGTGTTGTATCAGTCACCATTGATGCTGATTCTGTGCAGCGGAGGTAGCCTTGAAATCTTGTCCTGGTGATATGTTGTCCTGAATTGATGAACAGGGGGTGTGATGGCAAAGCACCGCCACTGCTGCGCACATGTACCTAATATTTTAAGGAAGTATATGGACAGGTGTACCTGTACTGCACAGAGTGATCACAACACCTTTTCGAAAACAATCAGTTTGGGACACTTTCTGGGAGATTGGCTCAATGAGCAGACGGAAGCCTTCATTTAATGCATTAATCAGAATGTCCACAAACAAATCATCAGGATTTCCAAACAATTCGGTCTGTAGGTGCCCTGCATCAATGTGCATAGATGCTATGAGTCACTTCCTCTCCTCTTTCTGGAAGGTAGTTTTGGAGCAGTCCATCTGGAAGTGCCCATCTTTATGGCAGGTGATACATTTGTGGGTAAAGATGAACAGTTCTCTTTTGCAACCACTATCATTGAAGTTGTTGCAAACTTCAACTCCTTCGATGATATTGCGTGGATGTCCATTAGTCATGAATTCTTGGATAGGGGTGGAAGGTGTTTTCCTTCTTGCTGGTCAAAAAACAGAACTCAGACGTGTGCGTGAGATTGTGGCAGATATAAGACGCCCGGGTACATCTTCCTGATGACACAGTAGTATAAATCCTTGTATTGATGATGCTCCAGTCGATGATGATGAACAAAAGATGCTGCCCTGGTTGCAAACATATGGTGGTATTCATAAAACAGTGATCCACCATACTGTGATGCCATATCCACTAGTAACCTCTAGTATTTGTCCATCTCATCTCTGCGGTGTGGGTACGCATCACAAAACACTGATTTGTACATGCCAAAGGCCTTGATAAATTCCCCTAGGGTAAGGGGGCGCTTCAGTCTGACGTCCTCCTTCATGGTTATCTGCTCAACTTCTGTTGCAAACCCAGACATCCTGTACTCTCCAGATTGTCAATAGCAATTTTGCCAAATTGAAATATTTCCTGCCTCAATTATGTCTTTCCTGTGCTTGCCCTTCACGGGGTCTATGTGGGGAAGGGGAATCTGGAGGTAACGGTTTTGAAAGTATGCATGTTGTCTCAGGTGCACTTTGAACAGTTGTGTGTATTAAAGTTTGGAGATTGTGTCCAGTGAAATGAGGAAAATTATCCTGGGAGCTCTGAGCATGTCTGTTCTCCCTGTCCTCCACCTTCCGCCGTAATTCTCAGAATTCTGCAAGAATGTCGCTGAGGGTAGGTTCCGAGGTAGTGGCTTCTCTTCTCGGAATTTGAACAGGTGGCGGAATTTCTTCTATTCCTTCTTGCTGTCTCTCATGCTCTGCTTGAGTGATCGTAACAGATGGTTGGCTGCGACTCGATGACTGGCAGGGATTGTCAGTCTGCTGGTCTTTGGCATTTAACAAATACATTTGAACCAAAACCTTCTTTGGTAGATTGTCCGGTACTAGTATGGCCATGGCTGTCAGCTTTCGTTTTAAAACTTGGAATGACCAGTTCTCAGATCGGTCTCTGGACCACCTGTCACTGTTCTCAGCAGCGGTTGAGCGATTGGATCATATACTGTAAATCATGAAATTAATGCGAGCATTTTATTAATGCAAAAATGCGTCTGTACTCTTCTTGCATTATTATAGCGACGCATTTCAGTCTGACCATGTCTACTTTTGAGAACATAATAACAGACAGAAAACGTAAATCTGTTGACACTACACATTACTTCCTCATTGCAGGTATCTCAAACCACATGTAATTATCACTGGTTACAATCACTGGTCATTGTTTAAAGTCACTCAAGCACATCAGCCAGACCGGACATTCTCCAGCCACGTGTTTGTTGATACATGACTTGTGTCTTTCAAGTTGGATTACGTTTATACATGCTGTCACAAGACAAGTAGCAGCAAGCAATCACGTGATCAAACATGGCAGCGTTATCAAAACATCGTCAGCTCATTTCCATTCATTGCTTAACAAACTCAATTCAGGTTATTTGGTAAATAACAAGTGTGAAAAGAAAAAGAACAACACCAAAGATTCAGGGTGTCACATTGTATCATCAACAGAGATTCCTGAGCTCGCATTAATTTCGTGACACATTTTAGACTGGACCCTCGCACTTGCATTAAATTCATGTGACGCATTAATTTCATGATTTACAGTATTTCTCTGGCGAGTGCAGGGCGAACCTCGTTCCACCGTGAAAGAATGCCAAGATTAAATAAAAACATCAAGTCTGAAGCCCTATTCAGTATGGCGAATACACAGAAACCAGAACCAAAAAGCATTGTGGGTAGCTTGGCAAAGTACTGTAGTTATATTTGATAAACTATATGTATTATGGAGATTACTTTGATACTTATTTATGAAATAAGTACTTTGTTATGCAAAGTAATAATATGTATACAAAAGGAACCTACGTTAAAGATTATAGTAACAAACATAAAGTGTTTGCCATATCCATGTAACTGGGGTAGGGAGGCCTAAGACCAAGGTAAGAGAGTACAAACAAACGATAGAAACATGCGTAATCATGCATGGTATAAGCATGTTATACAAATGTTTAAATGGAATTGCCTAGATATGATGGTATGAAATGTCCTTGTTGCTTTAACTGATAAACAAGTTATGTACATTTGAATTTGCACACTATTCTGTGTTTTTAAAAACATCATCTGAATATGGGGCCAATTCAGCATTGTTTATTTAAGCTGCTAAAATCATCATCATTTCTGTCATTTCTACTGTCAACAAGAGGTTTAAACTTAAAAGATTGGGATATCATCTCTTTCCATTTCATACCATAATGTAGATATAACTGCTGACTATCAGCTGACTATCATTTTCACTAAAGTGGGGTCAATCCTCAATAATGGTACTTAGTTTGTGTTGGTTTCAACTTGCTGGAATGACATAACAGTCATTTGATTCATGTCCCCATTTTCTGACAGAAACACATTTTAGGGTGCAACATGTTTTGCAAAGTAACTTTGTTTCTGTAGCAGGGTGGTGGCTATACCTCTGACTGAGTTATGACCACTTAAGTGCCACCCTCTCATAATCCCCCTCAGTCTATATACACAGTGTCATACACATTATCATAATGATTTCATGTTGTCTCCATTATATGTTGTCCTTGTCTGCAGTTGAATGTCAGCCCACTAACATCTTCAATTTTCAATACCCTTAGCAGCCTCTGAGTTCTCCAGCTTCACCTGGACTTCCCCTTCTCTATTTTTAGACACTTCCACCACCTAATGTAACTGTCCAGCATCTGACTTCCTTTGACACCTGTCAGATGCTACCTGTATTCTGATTGGCCTTTTGGTCCCCCTCTCTGAGCTTCCTTTCTCACCTGCCCTCCTCATGCATTCTGCATGAACTCTTATAGGAGGGAGGTTATCTGTTTTCAGGTGAGAAACATTTCAATATTCTTATCTTTCTGTACTTTGTTCTGTATACAAATACTATTCATTAATGGCTATCTCACAACTTCATAATTGTAAAATATAATTTCCTACATTATCCAAATATTTAGCAGCATATGCAGTAACTCTGACTGAGCACACATGGCCTTCAACCATGTGCTACAGCCATTTAAACTATTTGGCTTAAATTATACCTATTCTGCATGAACTCTTATAGGAGGGAGGTTCTCTGTTTTCAGCCTTCCTCCCCAACTTTCAACAAAATATACTTTATCCTTCATCAAGAACTGCTCTTGTTATGACTAGCAGCCAGTGGCTGGACATTACATACCACAACTGGCTACATTTCTAATTATCTTCTATAACTAAAGTGTTATGAAAATGCCAAAAGCATATAATAACAGAAACACATTTTAGGGTGCAACATGTTTTGCAAAGTAACCTTGTTTCTTATTATCTTTTTCCAATGCCAAAAGCATACATTAATTGTCTTCTTAAAGTTAAAACAAGGAACAATTACATGTATTATTACTAATTGTTAATAAACTTACCTCAGGATTATGGTTGCCATTTTCCTGTGGGTACCACTGAGACATACAGAAATGGAAATTAAGATTTTAAAGGAGAATACGAACGAAAACAAAACTTTCGATATATTGTAAAGGATATTCTAAAAGTCACCTTCCGTTATTAAAATTGAACAAAAAGTTTGTAAAATAGCAATAAAAACACGAAAAACGTACTCGTAGTTCCGCCTATTACGGAAACATCAGACATTTAATGAGCTGAGGGGTATCACGTGACATGATGTCATATGTGCCTGTTGCTGATGGCTTTCTCTTTGATTTTACCTCACAACTTAACAGTGTCCATGGATTATGAAGTAGTAAAAGATGTTCCTGATGTCATTTCTGAATTGGATGTTAGACCATATCAATACGATCCGATTTTACATCTTGCAAGACAATCTTCCAGTGAAGATGAAAAAGAAGAATCAAGCGAAACGTAGGCACGGCTTGAGGTCAAAATAAATTTAAAAATAGACCATATCATTTAACAAAAATACTATTTGTCAGCAAAATGTGATACAGTTCCAACCAGCAAACCCAACCCTATTAATATATGACCAGTCCCTAAGAATAATTTTTTTGGAAATGTGATTGCAGTTCCTTTTGTGTCAAATGGGTGACTGTAGAGTGTCTGGGATTTTAAAAATAATAAGTATGCTTCAGACGGGGGAAAATAGAAATTATCTGCTACAAAAATTACACTGGAATTATGTAGAGGGTAATGTCCGAGTAACTCTCCACTCCTTAAAAACAATGGAGCCTCGTTTCTGTTATCAAAATTAAATGTCAAAATGACAAAATGAAGGTTTTAATTTGAAACTGGTACACATCGCTCCATTCCTGAAAAGTAATGAAGCAAGCAGACAATGGAATGACGTCCCAAATGTAATTTAATTTGTTGAAAAAAATTAGGATCCTAGTTCTCATTAATGATGTATCAAGTCTCCATCGAAGATCCCAGCGTGGTCGAGCAGAGATAATATACCCGACGCAGATAAGTTATTCCCCGAAAACTGGTGAATTATAACATACTAGTCAGGACAATGAATGTTTCCCTAGTTTTTGGTTATGGAAATAGTTATGGTACTTGGTCATAGAATGACATTTTGTCAGCCAATGCGAATACAGAACAACTTTACGGCACACACTACTGACAAATAGCGAATCTGATACCGACGTGCCTAAATTGGACAAAATCGAAAACAATGAAAGCAACAAGTACTTCATGATTTACCATTGTATTCGGCAATGTTTCGAGTTGACTGCAGCATTTAGGGCTCCAAACCGAAAAGAACCTTATAGCGAAACATTTTCAAGCTTATATGAAATCTCTAACTGATTTTGATAATATATATCTCATGGGTATCAGTCGAACTGCCCCAGCAAATTTGGTCATTCATTCTAATTTGGTCAAATTTATTTAAAATAATTAAATATATGCCGTAAATGCATAGTTTTGTCATCTTTAATATTAGGTTCTTCATATAAAAGTTATTAAGAAGTAATATTTCCGATAAATGTTCCATTAGTAAACTCATAACTATGTATATACTTTTATATGAAGAATATAATATCAAACCTCCTTAAGTGGCATTTAGAAGCTGGTATGATGAAGTGGAACACTTTTTATGGATAAACAACTTCTTTGTTGCAGTGGTTGTCTATCCATAAAAAGTGATCCACTTTATAATATCAGAGTTGACAAAACTATGCATTTATGGTCTATATTTAATCATTTTAAATAAATTGGGGCATTTTGACTACCCCCCTGGGGCAATTTGACCAATTTGCTGGGGCAATTTGTAGCGGGGTCAATTCGACTGGCAATCGGTCTTTAATCTAATTTATGTTAAAAATACCACTGACAGTAAGTTGTAACAGGGAAGGATGGAGTATAAATGAATCTCGTGGGTACTTCTTCCTTCTTCAGCCTAGCTTTTGGATTTTCATACCGTGTGCATGTCTCTTTCATATGCGTCTGACTCGGAATGATCGGAGCATTTCTCCTGCCTAAATCTGTCTCTTTACTTGGAAAACGGAAGAAATGGTGGCTCTTTCCATTGTTCCATGATTCCGTGCACCCCCCAGGCAATGGAATACACCATCGTACCATTTTCAAAAACGACAAACAACACGATTTGTATTGCTGTAGCACTTGTTCTTTGGCAACCTGGCAGACGCTTGTCACATATGACGTCACGAGCTGAAAGGTCACGTGAGTTCCAGCGGAATATGCATAATGGCCAAAGCTCAGATAACAGAAACTGTTTTCGCGATAAAAACATAATAAACCATATTTTTAAAGTAAAAATTGGCTTAAATGTTTATGATGACTTTATTTTCACCCAGCAAATTATTACAATTGTCTAGTATTCTCCTTTAACTAAAGTAGTAGAAGTAATGGGGGTACGAGATCACTTTCAAGAAAGGTCGCTGTAAAGCTTTATTTCATTAATAAAGCTTTGTCAGGCCCTTAGATCTCGCCCTCATCGTGTCTACTACTTTTGAATCCCCAGTTAACTTCCCAACCCCACGTGATCACGTGATAGCTCTATGCCGCGTTGACCTCGATGAAACAGTTTAATGTGAATCGCCTATGATCTCTTTGGTGTTCGTAATAAAGGCTTGCTGGGCTTTTCGTACCCCCTGTTCTATGTACTTTTTTTTCTCGTCCTCGCTGATAGCAGACTTACGAGACTTGGACCGGATTTCTTGTTTCATCTTACGGTACTTGTCGAGTTCAGAGAGGATTGAGCGAAACTCCTCCTCCGAGATCTTACTGTCAGTGAGTGCTGCTGAAATACGCTCACTTACCGTGTTCAGCTTTGCTTCGGCCAGAACCCTGATCTCGTCGTGTTTCAATGCCTTGCGATGCAGTCTGCGTGATGCAAACTTAAACACCAACCCTGCCACCCCTACCACCCCAGCTGTTATTTCAATGCCTAGCACTATAGGTGCGGCCACTATGGTGGCTAACAACCCAACACCTGCCGCCCCTAGTCCCATGCTGGTTGCCATAAGGGCAGTATAAGTCCCGTCCACGATATTGAAAGCTCTATGGTACTTCTTATATAGTGCTTTCCGAGTGTCACGGTCTTGTTCTAGTTGGCGTTTTACATCACATAACTGTCTCAAGCGGAACCCGTCTACGGTTTCTAGGGTCTTCGCTACTTCCTGTACGACTGGGTACAGCCCCATTCTGTGTGCATATAATATATCTTATGGGATATTTTTTAATTGGGCTTCAGTTAATGGCCGCTTAATGTACTTGAAGCTTATAAGGCTTAGATCCTTGTGCAGGGAAATAGGTGAGAGGCTGATAGGGAACACTGAGTACACACTTACCCCCTTGGTGATAAATAGGGTATATAATCCTTCCGGGGGTCCATTTGTATAACGAAACGGTGGCGTTGTGTTTCGGAACTGGAATAAGGGCCAAGGGGGTCGTCTACGACCACTTAATCCCAGGATATTGTCACCCCAGGTAATTTTATGATGAGTGTAAAGTCTCGGCTCGCAACCATAAGCCCCGTTTGGGAAGCGGGACCGTGAAACCTTAACTCCCCCTTCAAGGGCGACTCTAACATGTTGCCTGTGTAACCATGTGTTAGCTGAGGAAGTATACCAGGCCCCGGAATGAAATCCCCAGGCAAGATACCGTTGTTCCTAATTTCGGAGATATGCCCCTCTTGGTTTAACGAGATATAAGGTGAGGTGAGGGTCATGTTGATCAACCATTTGGGCTTTCTAAGGGCGTCTGCCAGAGGCTGCCGCACGTACACACCGTTTCTTAAGCGTAGGACGTATGAGGTGTATTCCTCGCCAGGCCGATCGAACTCCATTGTGCCTCCTAGACCCCCGAGTGTGATTTTGGGTAGATGATCGGTCATTGCCGCCTGCCTATACACGTCCTTCAAGTGTAGGACGTACAAGGCGTCTTCCTCGCCAGGCTGGTCGAATCCCTCTGTGTCTCCTAGATCGTTAAGTGTGGCGTTAGGCCGATGCCGATTGGCCATTGCTATAATACTATTACGATATAGTTTCCAATTGTTTTTCTGATAATAGTTCAGGGGTGCACTTCACCCCCATGAAGTGTATGTTGTTGGGTAGGAAGATCTTGGTTAGTGATATCGTGTCATCCACGGCCACGATGACCCCCTGCAGATTGGTGTGGGAGTCAACACCCACCCGCACGTAAACAGTGCAAACCTGATACTGGTGCCGTTTCGCCCACCCGAGTTTGACCCCTTCACGATTTCGACTTCATCCTGCGATGGTTCCCCTAGGTAGACTTTGATGATCAGAGTGGCATTCTCTGGTAGGCTCGCCAGGACGTTGACCTCGCCAGCGAATTCAGACACCAACTGCAATGCCCCGTCTTGCACTCCCGGTTTACTCGATAGCATGTTGGCTGTC